ACCACTAGGCCCCATCTGGTACAGATATAGGAGGCACAATCATGTTGAAGGCATACATCTGATCTTGGAACAGATCCCAGAGCTAACTTTTAACATAAGTTCATAAAAATTTCCCAAGTAATTTCTCCTTTACCCTAAAAATTAAGGTATGAGGAGGAAAAAAAAAAAAAAAGATGAGGCAAGGAGAAGGTGTTGAGAACTGAGTGAATTCAGGATTCCAACTGAGTTCCAGTTACTCAATAAAAATTCAGTTGCATGCCATTCTCTCGGTGGTTAGGTTTCAAGTTAACGAGTAAAGTGCAATCTGAGAGAAATGAAATCACCCTTGAACACCTGTAGACTCACACTTACTCAGGCGAGATCAGTAGTTTTCAACTGGGAGCAATTCTGCCACCCAGGGGACACTGGGCAATTCTGGAGCCATTTTGGGTTGCCATGACTAGGCTGTGTGTGCATGCACTACTGGCATCTACTGAGAAAAGGCCAGGGTGATAACTGAAGTCGTTCTATGCACAGGGCAGCCCCCCATGACAAGAGGATTTTCTGGTCCCAAATGCCTCTCATGCCAAAGCTGAGAAACCCTGGACTAGGTGGTTGCTCAAGGGAAGGCAGGACAGAACTTAAGGGGACCAATGGCACCTACTGGCCTCCCATCCTGGGCTCGGCCCATGGCCATCCCCAAGGAGGACAGACTCATATGCACTATTCAGATTTATTCTTGTTCTCTCTTCCTTTGTCCTTAAGCTAACTGTCCAGAATGGAGTCCACTGCAGTAAAGACAGCTGCCACTCACTGAGTGTATATTACTGTGGGCTAAGCTAGGTGCTAAATAACTGTTCTGTGTTAATTCACCCAATGCCCACAGCCACCTTGAGCGAGGTATGGCTTTCATTATTCCCATTTCATGTTGAAGAAACTGAGGCTTAGAGGGTTATGAAGTTTGCCCCAAATCACTCAGGGAACACTCAGCAGAATCAAAACACAAGCCCAGTTCTCTACAAGGCAAAGCTTGGGTCCCACCATCACTTTATACCGAGTCTCACCTGGAAGTGATTCTGATCCACCCCCAACAATTGTCTATGTCTGGAGGCATTTTTGGCTGAAATGGTCCCTCGGGTGGGAGGGAGGGTCTCTGAGCAGTGTCAAGGATGCTGCAATGCTACTAAACATCCTACAATGTCTACATGTCCTACAACGTAGGACAGCCTCCTTCCTCTCTAACAGAGGATTATCCAGCCCCAAATGTCCAACGTCAAAGTTGAGAACCTGCTTTATACCAATTCCCAGTTCTCACCATGCATGTCTACAGGCCAGCAGGGAATTTGTTACCTTTTAATGCTAGATCTACAATCCAAGATTTCCTATAGTTTAAATATACTTTGCTTGCCCTCTTCCCATTCTTCTTTACACAACTCTGCTTTCAAGTCCTGCTGTCAGCCTACAGTGCAGAATGACTCCAGAGACAGGATGATTAGCGAATTTAAGAGGTAGCGACGGTGAAACACTAAGGAGGGGAGAATACCCCATGGGCACGGGGAAACACACACTCTCCTAGGAGAGGAGCAGTCAGAATGCGCCCAGTCAGGGACTGGGCCAGCAGACCACATGGAGGTTAAGGCACCTGGGTCCTACATGGCTGACTGCGCAGTTTGAGTCCTCGAGCTAGTGGCTTGAAAACCAACGCCAGACACATGTACACGCATGCCCAAAATACAGAGAGGAGAATGGAAGAGAGGGGATTGTGGCATGGCCATGGTGAATGGAGACGGCTCTCTTCCCCTCTGTGCCTTACAGCAAAAACTAGAAAATAATCGGGAACCAGCAGTTAGCGTAATGGCTATGTCGCTGGACTCCCACATAGTCGAGCGCGGTTCGTGTCCCGGACCCGGTGGCTTAAAACTCACGCCGGGCGCGTGTGCGTGCGTGCCCAAGATCCCGAGAGAACGGAGGAAAAGGGATCGCGGCGTGACCATCCCCCCTGGGGGGTGATTTCTCGCTTTCTGTCTCTATGTCTCTCTCTGTCTGTCTGGCGAGCGCACGCGCCCTACAGTGAAAAATCTCTCAAAAAAAAAACCTCTAAAAAACAAAAACCAGGGACTACAGGACCACAGAGAAAGTGCTATGGGAGTTGTTGACACTAGTCTGGAGGTTGCCATGGCAACAGGACCAACAGGATGCTGTAGTACTGGTCACATGGCTGTACAGTTACAGCACACCTAACCTGTACCACTCAGACCAGTGGGTCTTAATCTAGGCTGTATGTCAGAATCACGCTGCTTTCTAACTATACAGATGCCCAAAGCTCACCCAACGCTTCACAGAACCGGAATCTGTTCGGCATGGGGACTAAGCATCTGTGGCTTTAAGAATGCTCCTCAGGTGATCCTGACACCCAGTTGGGGTGACAACCACTCCTCAGACTGACAAATAGTGCGATGGACTAAAGAAGAGAGACAGAATGGATGGAGGAGAGTGGGTGTGAGGAGGGACCAATTGAGATCCCGGTTTGGAAAGGCAGAAGCCAAGGAGGAGTTTGATTGAAGCTTAAGAAATGAAAGGGAAAGGATGATTATGGGCAGTCCCTAACTCTTCAACACACAAAGGGAAGGAAGTCTTGCTTTACTTAAATATTCCACCAGGCTATATAAGCCAAAACAGAAACAGAGTCTTCAACATACACACAAAGACTAACCAAAGGATGTCAAGGCTATCTGAGGCACAAAAATCCACTAAGATAATTTTTCTCAAGGAACTATCCCAGAACTAGTGTTACAGAGAAAAGACTACGTAAATGTGGCATTTATTAGAGAAAATCTTTTAGTGCAAAACATTCCATTTCTCTATTTTATACATACCTGTTCAACTATACAAGTCACAATTTACAATCCACACGTATTATACTAGAAACAGTACCCCTGGAAAACACTGTTGCCAAGGCATCTGTCACAATAAGGGTTCTCACTGATGAACTCCCTCAGTCATTCATTCGTCAAACATTTCCTGGATAGCTCCTCTGTGTCAGAGGCCATTCTAAATGTAGGGGATCCATCAGTGATCACAACAGATAAAAACCCCTGGCCCTGTGGAGCTTATATTCTAGTGGAGAGGCAAGGAAACCTAGCATGCTAGATGGCATTAAGTGATGTGGTGTAAAATAAAGTAGAATAAAGGCAATAAGTAATGTGTATATAATTTAAAATAGGTTCTGGAGAAGTCCTCAATAATAATGTGGTAAAACCAGAGGTGAGCCATGGGAGTAGTGGGGAAAACTGTTTGAGGCAAGGAAAAAGCTAAAAGGAAGTAGAGTAGGGACCATTCCAGGAACACTGAGATAGCCAGGGTAGTGAGAGTAGAGGGTAAGGGACAGAGTAGTGACAGAGTAGTGGGAGGTAACAGGGGGCCCCGATGGCTTCTGGGTTGAGAGACTATCAGGTGGGTAAGGATGGTGCAGAGGGAGGACCAAGGGCTGGCAGTTGGAGAGTAGTCACACTCTGAAACATTTTCAAGGTAGAACCTACAGAAGTTAGTGTGGACTAAGAGGAGTCAGGGGTGAGTGCAAAGTTTGGAGTTCGCACTATTCCAAGTACAGACTCGTGGTGTACTTCAATGGGAGAAAGTCTGTGTGATGGGCCAGTCTGGGGGGCTGGCGGGAAGCCAAGATTTTGTTCTGGGCGCAGTGAGATGTGCCGTGCGGACATCCTGATGGAGATGGTCAGAGGATGGTGGACTGACAGATCCTGACTTCAAGAACCATATGGGCTCAAGATGCAAATACATAATATGAAGCAGTCCCTTTTCTGCCTTGAAGAGGATCGCGAGTGGGAATGCCTCAACCCTGCACAGGCTCCTTTATTTTTATGAGAGATGTAGTATCAAACTGCCAAGAATGGGGCACCTGGGTTCCCATCCCTGCTCCTTACTAGTCACAGGACTTGCCTTGGACAAGTAAGTCAACCATTCTCGGTGTTCTCACCAAGAGAATGGGGCGAACAGTACCTACCGACTATGTCTGGGAGCTTTAGTGAGGAATGCTAGCCCAGGTGACAGCATGCCAGGACTTAGAACAGTACCTGGTACCAGCCCAAACGCTCCACAAGGCCGAGCACTTACTATTACCATCCATGCATGTGTGCAGTCGGGGATGGAAACCCCGGACAGCCTCCCATAGCTGGGAGCAGCGTACGGGGGCGTCGGGGCGGACAGGTAGAGAGCTTGCCTGCAGTTGTGGACGGAGAAAAGGAGGGAGCTAAAAATAGGCTTCGGAAGTCCTGAAGTCCTGAAACCACGACGACAGCCACACGCCTGCCTGTCGAGGGGAGCAGACCTCAGCCGCACGCAGCGCTTCTCCGGGGCGTTTGGGAAGCGTAACCTTGTCAAAAACGCTCAGGTGGGACGTCAGCGCTCCACAGAGGACGGGCTGAGACATCCTCTCTCTGGAAACGCAGCCGAAAACGGCCAGAAAGCAGCCAGAGCGTTCGGCGGCCCAGATCTTGCGGGCGAGACTAAATGAGGGGAGACGAGGCGCCTTAAAGGATCCAGGAGAACTGGCGGGAAGTGGGGGGCCCATTCGGGGCGGGGGTGGGGTGAAGGCAGCCTGGTCTTCCTCCGTCCTCGGCGTGGAGGCCACAGGCCCGGGCAGGACGAGCACCTCCCAAGGACTAGGGGACGGGGGGACGCCGGGTCCCCGAGGACGAGGGGGCGGAGGGGCGAGCGTGGCGCGCTCGGGCCCCAGACCAGGCCCCAAGGTCTATTTACATCCGAGGCCGAAGCACTGGGGCCGCGCCTCCCGCCCCCTTCGGGCCCGGGCCAGGCCAGCGAGGCGGAGGGGGCTCC